GGGCAAGATAGCCCCATCTTGCCCGCTCGGGTAGCCAATCACAGCGCAGGATTTGATTCATCTTGCCCGCGCACGGAGCTATCCATTTAATAAAATTACTATTTTTCCTTTGACCCTTCCCATGACACCCCGCACACCTTGATCCACCCTGGTATCCAAATTTATCTCCCCCCAAAACACGTAAAGAGCGACTGGGTACGAGTCCTGATTCTCAGCACTGACCAAAAGGAATTTGGCCTCTGGGAATGAGATTCTCGTCACGCAGTCTTCCCTTTCAATCAAAATGTCGAAAAACTGCTTGACGCGAAGGGAAGGAACGACTACGAGACGGGTGTCAGTTTGATGTCTGCTTGTGAGGCTTTGTTCATCTTAGTTCCGAATGACGGCAGCGTCATAGCTAGCCGTTGATAGCAACTGAATTGGAGTTCTTGGTTCATTCAACTTATAAATTCGCTAAAAACGAGCGCCCTCGGGTATTATCTATGTACAATATAATACAGTGAGTGAAGTCAATTGAAAGTTCACAAAGCAGCGAAATCTTCCTTGAGTTGGTTGAGCACGTCCTTGCTGTCGCTGTGATCGGGATAACCTTCCAACGATTTACTGATCGAGCTGTGGCTGCTCTGTAGGTCACCAATCTACCAAGAAACAGTACAAACTAGAAATTAACTACACAGCCAAACACAACAGAGCCTCCCATACAGGGCGACTTCCGGTTCCCTGCATCCGGGAAGTAATGAAACGAACCGGAAGCCGCCCATTTCGGAACTGAAGGGCATACATGTACGAGAGAGAAATCGTCCACAGACCAACATACTAAAACGTGCTAAAATCCGTGTTTCTATAACTTAAGTCTTTTTCTTACAGTATTACGGAGAAAAAGCAGAAAACACTTTCTCTTTGTATCTATTAAGGATCTACACTACGAGTAAACCATCACAAGCAGTGTAAATTATTAATGGCACAAGCTTTTATACGACAAGTCAAGTAAATTTCATGACGGAGAAAACTACGAACGAGCGCGCGTTAATTTGCACTGCGGCGCAAATTGAAAATAAACGACAAATTAGCCTGCTCTCGGCCAATCACAATAGTAATCAAGGAAATAATTGTATACCTTATGTGAAAGCAGTCCGTGATTGTAATGAGGTTCGTACATGTGAGGAGCTAGAGAGGCAGCGGCCTGGAGGAATGCGCGGGCCTGGAAAAGAACACCACACATTACTAATTATGGTAACCTGAGCCTGGGAATTTCTCCCAATCAGAAACGGGTTGAACCAGTAATAATATCGGTTTTACCTGTTCCGTGTGACCCTTCCTCATTTCCAGGACTCCCAGGTTATTGTACGCCTCTGCATGGTCGTTGTTCGATGCAAGCGCCAATCTGAAACACTGATAGGCAAGCTGGATGTCTCCAATACCCTGAAACCACAAAACAAACGTCAAAAACCTTTCCAGTAAAACGTCTCACGCTTGCGTTTTTAATTAATCTTTTTCATTTTTAAGGATGTTGAATACCTATTCCGTAATTCCAGCTACTAATCAAAATGCCGGCTGTTGATGACTTTCGCAGCTTTTCTCGCATTTCCATATTTATCTTATTAGTCGTATTGACACTGGAGGACGAGACATCCGACAAGTTTTCCGTCTTAGAGCGAATTCATGACGTAAAGTTTTTTTAAACTTTACCTTCATTTTGTTCCACTCCCTTCGGTAAAATTGTCACTAAACTCGACCAGAACACCGTCGAAGCGTGAATTCGTGACGGATTTCGATGGGTCTCTGGTGACGTCTGACTGGACGAATAAAAAGATGGGTAAAATGGGACAAGCTTTTCGTCAAAAACCCGTCTCGTCCCGTTTTCAAACCAGGACGGGAAACTCGACACAGAAGGGAAACCCGTCTTGGATGGGATACTCGTCTCTAGTGCTAATGCGACCATTGGCCTTATTAGTAAGTGAAATATTATTTACCACAGCCACGTGACCAATGTTGTACCAAACATCCGCCATGTTTTCGTCGGAAGCCAGAGCCAACGCTCTTTCAAAACAGTTCAGCGTCATGTCGTACTGCTGAGCAAAGAAACAGCAAAGCCCTAGATTGGTGAACAGCTCTGCATTGTACACACCCATCTGGAGAAGGCGGCTGTAAAGCAAACGACAAATTATCGACATACTGATAAAGTAACAATTGAAATGTAGCTGTATTTTTACCTGCGACTAACTAGATCTTCAAAGGTTCAAAGTTTGCTGTATGACTCCCAAAAACCTCGTGCAGTTTATTTCACCCAATCAGGAGCAAAACCTAACCAAATCAATCGGGTACACACTTTTCGCGCGCTTGGTAGCAGTCGGAAGTTTTCCCGCGCTTGGCAGGAGTCGCAAGTTTTCCCGCGCTTGGCAGAAGGCGTACGTTTTCCCGCGCTTGGCAGCAACCGTACGTTTTCCCGCGCTTGGCGGCAACCGTACGTTTTTCCACGCTTGGCACACTAGCTGTGGACAGTTTGCATGTTTTTGCTTCGTGTTGAGTTCTGATTGGGTAATTGCGAGCTACTTTGTTGTGATTGGTCAGATGCGTATCTCGAGATAACATTGCAGTGAAAATTCGTGATTGCAATAACTTTGCATTTCCTAAGCTCTGTAATAGACAAAAAGTCTAACGCAACATGTCCTGACAGAATAAAACAAACAAAAAACTGTCGATGAAACTCCTGTAAATGAAAAGTTGGAGACTTACCGGTAAAATCTGAGCGCAATTTCTGGTTGATCAGTGTAGAAATGATGAGTAGCGATACAAGCGATGGCCTCCACATGCGTATTGTCATAATGTAGCACTTCTTTATACAGTTTCACAGCATTGGTCATGTCATTCAACTCCTAGACACGATCAAGAAATCAAAACAAGGGAGTTGGAAAGTGCTCCAATGCTGCCGTAAAATTCTGTCCTAAACCGGGCTGGTGCAGTCTGTATTATGTTTCATACAATTGCACAGCTTATTATATGGCTTGCTCCATGAGCGAGCAAGATGACTCAAATCCTGCTCTGTGATTGGCTACCCGAGCAGGCAAGATGGTGCTATCTCGCCCACTCGGGACTACCCGCTGTCTCGCAAGGAAAATTTCCCCATAACCCATATAATAAATCCTTTATTGACCAAGTTTGTTTGGTCACCTGGTCAATAACCCATATATGTTGCAATACAACTAGCAAAGAATCGATCAGATTTAGACTAAGAGCTCGGATTTTCACCTCGTGGATACGTGCAATTCCGGTCAGAAGAGTCGTCTCTCCAGGAAATTTCTCTAATGCCTGCAACAAT